TAGAAATTTCTCTTTTTAAATTTTATTTGTTTATTTTATTAATATAGATATGGGATCACACTATGTTGCCCAAGCTGGTCTCAAACTCCTGAGCTCAAGTGATCCTCCCATCTCAGCCTCCCATAGAGTTGGAATTCCAGGCGTGAGCCACTACACCTGGCCAAGGCTGAGAATTTCTCAGCTAAGCATCTAATTTAGAAAGTTTTTAAAAAGAGTATCAGAATACACCTAAAGAAATTAGAGGGAAAAAAACAAAGACATGAGTATAAATTAATGAAATAGAAAATAAACATAAAATATATAAAAATTTAAAACCCAATTATTCTTTGATTAATTTCTATAGATTTATCAAAAACAATGAGAACAAACGTCAAAATGTAGATAATAAAGTACTGTGAACAAATTTACGTTACTAAATTTGAAAATTTAAATGAAAAAATTCCCAGCAAAATGCCAGTTAACAACACTTACTCAAGAAGAAATGGAAAAACCTAGATTTCCTTTGTCCTTAAATGAAAATGATTGGCCAGGCGTGGTGGCTCCCAACACTTTGGGAGACTGAGGTGGGTGGATCACTTGAGGCCAAGAGTTTGAAACCAGCCTGGTCAACATGGCAAAACCCCGTTCTAATAAAAATACAAAAATTAGCCAGGCATGGTGGCTGCATGCCACCACACTCCAGTCTGGGTGACAGAGTGAGACTCCATCTCAAAAAAAAAAAAAGATAAATAGTTAACAGTTAAAATATCTGCTGACAATGAAAACTGAAGGTCCAGCTAGTTCTTTATGTGAGTTATACCAAACTTTCAAGCAAATAGATTATCCCGACTGGAATAGAATAGGAAAAATAAGGCAAAGTTACTTCTCATAAAAGGCACAAAATTCTAGAGAACAATGTAGGAGCACTCCCATGACATGAAATAGGGGAAGGATTCCTTAAACAAGATTCGAAATGTGCTCCATTGTAATGGAGAAAGTTGCTGAAAATCTACCCACAGTAAAATGGAGAACTTAGATTGGTGTAATCACTTTGGAAATATTTTGACATTATTCAGTAAATTTAAACATTAATGTATTATGTGAACCTAAATTTTATTCTTATGTATATACCCTTAAAAGACTCGCGTGTATATGAAGATGTGTAAGAATGAGCATAAAAACATCATTCAAATCACGAAAGCTAGAAACAACTCAAATGTTCAATTATAGTAACAAGAATATATAAAGTGTAGCAGCAGATTCCCACAGTGGAATATTATTCATCAGTGAAAAGGGATGAACGACTGCTACATGAAGATGCATGGGAGTCTCAACAGCATAAAAACAATCTCAAAAGACTGTTTCTCTGTGGCCATGAGAAACAATCACAGAAGAATTTATGATTTCATGTTTGAAAAGTCTTTAGGTAGATGAAACAGTCAAAACTGAAAACACAATTTGGGATGCATGCAGATCGTAGGTTGTTGATTCTAAGCCATGTCTCCTTTTCTGACATTTCAATCACTTCAAAATTGAGATTCATTTTGTAACCAAAATTCTGTCAACAAACCATTCATTTTGTAAGTAGCTTTCTTAGACTTGAAATAATGATGTATCTTACAACGTTGGGAGCTTAAGTTCAATGAAATACAGTAGGAAATGAAACTATAAAGAAAAGCATGAGAAGATTAACATAAAACTTGGGATACCTACAATAACCTATGTCTGGGAGGGAACAGGCTGTAAGAAGGAAGGGGAGGCCAGGCGCGGTGGCTCAAGCCTGTAATCCCAGCACTTTGGGAGGCCGAGGCGGGTGGATCACGAGGTCAAGAGATCGAGACCATCCTGGTCAACGTGGTGAAACCCCGTCTCTACTAAAAATACAAAAAATCAGCTGGGCATGGTGGCGTGTGCCTGTAATCCCAGCTACTCAGGAGGCTGAGGCAGGAGAATTGCTTGAACCCAGGAGGCGGAGGTTGCGGTGAGCCGAGATCGCGCCATTGCACTCCAGCCTGGATAACAAGAGCGAAACTCCGTCTCAAAAAAAAAAAAAAGAAGGAAGGGGAAGCAAGCAGAATTCTATTTGCTCACAATGTGCTAGTTTCCACCTAGGTGCAGTATATTGGTGTTTGTTTTCCTCCTCCTCCTGCTCCTCCTCCTTTTGAGGCAGGGTCTCACTCTGTTGCCCAGGCTGGAGTGCAGTGGCACAATCTTGGCTCACTGCAACTTCCACCTCCCAGGTTCAAGCTATTCTCCCACCTCAGCCTCCCACGTAGCTGGGACTACAGGCATGTATCACCATGGCCTGGCTAATTTGTTGTAGTTTTGGTAGAGATGGATGTTGCCATGTTGGACAGGCTGATCTCACACTTTTGGCCTCACGTGATCCTCCCGCCTCAGCCTCCCGAAGTGCTGGGATTACAGATGTGAGCCACAGTGCCCGGCTTGTTTTATTATTATTCTTTAAAAAGGTTAGATTCTCACATGTATAAATATCTTTCACAACTAAAAAAAAAAAAAAGGAGTGAATGGGGCGAGTAGGTGGAGACACACGTGTAGTAACTCAGGAAGCCGGACAGTCAAGGGGAGAAGAGAGTGAGGTGGCCGTTGTGGGAGGATGTGGAGGAAACTCCAGGAAATAAACGGAAAGACTGAAGAGCTGGGAGGCATCCCAGCTGACACATGCAGAGAAGCTGGCCTCTCAGGGAGACACGTCCTCTATTTTAGCAAGAGGGACGAAGGGGACGAATGGACTTACGGAATTTACAGTGGCATTTTCTCATGTTTCCCCATGATGGTTTTTATTTTCTTTACAAAGAATTTATATATGGTCTGGTAGAGTTATCAGGAATGAGATGGGCAAATGGCATGAGGGGTAGGCATCTAAAATGAAAACGATTGTTCAGCAGTTATCCCACGCTGGGCACTTAACTAAGAGCCTTTGACAGCCATCATTCCATGTATTGCTCTCATTAACACTACGAGGTATGTAGTTTCTCACGATGCCTGTAATAGTTTCCCAGGGCCACAAGAAAATAATAAAATACCACAGATGAGGTGACTTAGGTAACAGGAATTCACTTTCTCCCTGTTCTGCAGGCTCGCGGTCCACGAGCAAGGTGCGGACTGGGTCGGGTTCTCCTGAGGCCTTTCTCCTTGGCCTGTGATGGCCGCCCTCTGTGCACGCTCAGCCCTGCCATCTCTCCGTGGGCTTCACCTCCTCTCCTTTAAGGACACCCGTCAGACTGAATCAGCTAAAATCTTCATTTTCACTTAATCGCTTCTTTAAATACGGTCACATTCTGAGGTGCTGGGGCGTTGGGGCTTGAACTTATGAATTGCCGGGGACACGATTCAGGCCATCACAATGCCCATTTCGCAGAGAAGGCACTGGAGACACAGAAAGGTCAAACAGCTCATGCAGCTCCTCGGCGTCAGAACTGGGATGTGGACGCAAGCAGGTCAGCTGCGGTGGCTGAACACCAACCACTTCTCTACACGTCTAGTCCTGGGCCTGGAAGAGTGAAGAAGGATGGAGAGGTCTTTTGGAGAATGTTTTTTTTTAAACAGAACAGAATAAAGAAGCAATATTCTCAGACTTTTCTGAGCTGTCCCAGCAAACAGAATGGAACTGAATGCTCCAGGAGCCAGGATGGACGGTCCACTCACAGCTTCCCTCTTAAAATCTAGGTCTTAAAGAGAAACATGTAAATCTAGGCTAAAATGGCAGGAAAGGTCAACAACTGAAGCACGAGCTGGAATCCACTCCTGCTTGCTCTTGAGGGGCCAGGTGTGAAGTTAGGGACTGAGAAGGGTGACACCTGCTGGCTCCGATGATCAGCATGGGTGGGACCTGGCTCCTTTCATATGTGGTCCCTTACTACCCTCTACTGGGCAGGACTGGGAATACGCAGGAAACTGCAGGTAGCCCCACTTCCTCCAAAACTCGACAGATCTAGGAAAGACGGGAAGAATCTACTGGAATCACACAGCATGGCGCATGTCACTTCCTCTGCACCCGTATATACGCATACTGAACTAATAGTGCAGTCACTTCTCACTTTTTACAATTCTATGACTGTACAGCTGTTTTAAACGTTGCTTATGACTTTCGTTTTTGTTTTTTTTTTCTGTTTTGTTTTTGTTTTTGTTTTGAGATGGAGTCTCTCTGTCACCCAGGCTGGAGTGCAGTGACACAATCTTGACTCACTGCAACCCCTGCCTCCTAGGTTCAAGTGATTCTCCTACCTCAGCCTCCCCAGTAGCTGGAATTACAGGCCCACACCACCATGCCCAGCTAATTTTTGCATTTTCGGTAGAGACGGGGTTTCACCATGTTGGCCAACCTGGTCTGGAACTCTTGACCTCAGATGATCTGCCCGCCTTGGCCTCCCAAAGTGCTGGTACTACAGGCACGAGCCACCCTGCCCAGCCAAGATTCCATTTAAAAATGTTACCCTCCACTGACCTTACGTGAGAAAAAAAAAAAAAAAAAAAGTGTTACATTTGCCAGCTTTTCAAAAATGATGTTTCCTAAGATAGAATATGAGAATTTGAATACAAGTGTTGATGGCTTATCAAAATGCTAGTTTGTTCATCATTTCATATACTCTTTTTAAAAATTTTTTTTAGAGATAGAGTCTCCCTACAGGTGATTCCTTCTGTCACCCAGGCTTGGAGTGCAGCAGTGCGATCAAAGCTCACCACAGCCTCAAGCTCCTGGTCTCAAGGGATCCTCTTACCATAGCCTCCTAAACACCACATCTGGCTAATTTTTAAAATTTTTGCAGGGATGGGGTGTCAGTGTCTTGCTGTGTTGCCCAGGCTGGTCTTCAGCTCCTGGTCTCACGTAACCCTCCTGTCTCAGCCTCCCAAAGTGCTGGGATTACAAGGCATGAGCCACTGCACCAGACCTTCATGTTTACAAAACTTGTAAACTCATTGTAGGTTTGGAAATCCTTTTTTTTTCAGTATTTTAAAATCATTATTTGTTATGCGATAGCCTTGGGACCCCACCATATGGTTATAGTACGTTTGAAAAATAATTCTTTTTATTTTCAGATGTTAGTTTTCATCAAAACAAAATCAGTCGTTCACGCTTTAGAAATGTATCTTTGGTATGGACATCTGGGCAAAAATCTTCAAAAGTAATAAAGGAGCCCCTTGAGTTGAGAAGTATTAAGTAAACACCAGAAAAAAAAAAAATTGATCTCACCGAGAACTCCTAGAATTCCTGATTAGTTGTGTCACACAGAGTATGTTACTTTGTGAGCCTCCGTCAAATTCCAAATGGGTGGCTCAAGAGCGTCCAGTGTCCTGGCTCTTGTGTGAGCCCCCAGACCTGCTTCATGCAGTTACCAGAACAATCGTTCAAGATGCAGTCAGATCGTGAGACTCCTCTGCTTCTGGAGAGGTCAAATGTCACACCTTTGATCTGGACAGGTCCAGTGTCACACAATGCCAGCTGCTCTGACTCATGCCAGCCCTCCCAGGCTTGCCTTTAGTCACTTTTCCTTCCTGTTCAGCTATTTGCATTTTCATCCTTCCTGGACGTTTCTGTGGCCAACATTCTGTTTATTTCCTTCGGAGCACTTGCTTTCATTCGTAATAACTGTGCGTGTTTATCTGTCTTTCACTTCTTGTCTTCACCATTAGGCGGCATCCCCGGGGGAGGTCCTCATCCACCTTGCTCTTTCCTGTGTTCCCAGTGCCTAATGAGCGTTATTTATCAATGAGTGAGTGAGTGAATGAGGTGAGCAAAGGAACACGCTGAGCAGTGACAGACACCAAGGTCACTCCACGCAGACCACAGTACTGGGTTATTTACATACATATAAGGAAGTTCCATCCATGACCCATGGCATGGGAAGCAAAGGGAGGGCTGTGGCTGGGATCAGGCCAAGAGCTGTACTTTTATCTTCCACGCTTGTCATCAAACCCGTCCTTCCCTGCTTAGAGAATACCAGGGAAGCTAACAGAACCTCAGGACCCACATGCTAAGGAAGCTGGAGGGCCTCAAGGAAGCAGAGGCTTGCTAACTCATCAGGTGCAATTTTGCATCACTGCTGTGGGTACCAATCCAGGATGCCAACACCAGCTGCTCAACCGACCAGTAACACTTTGTGTTGATCCAATGCCTTCCCCTTGAAAAGGTGCCAGCACAGTGTCATAGGCACCCAGCCCTGCTCAGTGGTAGGTGCATTAACATTCCCATTTTACACATGGCAGGAGAATGAGCCCATGATCAGTGGGGCTGGGTACACAATCGGCCAGCAGACTCACGTGTGGCCTTCCAGGGGTTCTGTCTCCATCTTCACCGTGAGACGATCAGAGCCTGAATAAAGGAAACTAAGTTCAAAACTGTCACCGATTCTGAATCGAGCCTGAGGAAGCCTGATGAGAGGCGTCCCCAGGAGAGGTAGCTAGGGCAGAAATACTTGCTGGGCTCCAGGGAGACCTGGGCCAGACATCCTGAGGCACGGTTCCCCACCTGCAAAGTGTTACTGGTTTGATGTAATTTCTGCTGCCGTTTGGGGCCTTTTTCCTAGGCGGGATCCTGGCACCTGACTAAGGAACCATCCAGAAAACAAGCCAGAATAAAATGTCCAAGAACCTCCCAGGCCGGGGCAGCCATCAGGGTGGGCTAATCTGGGGGTTCTTCAGGAACGTGGACACCTTTTGGGCCACAGCGTCCAGTTCGATGGGGTTGGTGCACTGAAAGAGGTTGCTGTTTCGGACGAAATAGTGTTTCAGGAAGTGCTGGCTCACACACTTGTGCAATTTCCTCACCAGGCGCAGGAACGCTTTGCTGAAGACCTGCCAGTCTTTAAAGTGGGGATATTTCTCGCAGGTCCAAAAGAGCACGGTCTGTGGAAGGAAGAAGTGCTGTCAGACGTGGTTTCAGACAATTGAGGAGGATATCTTGGAAACAATTAATGAGCTTATGTGCCCTTGGAAGGAGGGAGAAAAGAGTTGCCCGGGGCAGACTGAATCTGCCATGAATTCCCAATCCCCAGCTTCAGGTGGGCTGCCGTTTACCAGAGACCCCGCACCTCTTCCGAATCTATTCCCTCACCCTCCTCCAGCATCTCCCATGGTCTCCACTCCAGGCGATGCCTTTGCCTTCTGCTCCACGGGGAAAAGGGAACCCCTCATCCTCCCAAACCAGACAGATCTTGCCCACTGTGGCGCCCTTCTCGCTTCCTCCCTGCTCTGCCTCTCCTGCCTGTGGGGCTGACCCCTCCACAGGGCTCAGGATCCCACTTTCCAGGAGGTGTATTTGACCGATTACCCTCTTCCTCAACTGCTTTTTGCCAGCTGAAAGCCCTCCTGCCACCCCGACCCCTCAGCCGCCCCCCGCCCTCACTCTTCCCTCCGCAAATCCAGGCTTTTCCGGAGTCGGCTCTATCATTTGTCATCATTTCCTCTCCTCCCATTTCTCGCCTCAATCCGCTCCAACATGGATTCTTCTCTCATTAATCCTCAAAGGCTCTTCTCATCAAGGCCCAATGATCTCCATGTTTCTAAATCCAACAGACCTTTGTCAGCCTGCACCTTACCTGACCTTTCAGCAGAGAACCCCCACACCCTCCCTCCTCAGCCATCCTTCACTTGATGCCAAGCAATCTCCTCTCTGGGTTTTGTCCTGGCCCGGTAGCGCCTCCTTGGCAAGGCTTAGGCTCCTTGGCCTGCCTGTGAGAGGTGGAGTTTCTGGAGGCTCAGCTCGAGGCCCTCTTCTTCCCTCACTCTGCATTCATGCCTCAGCTCTGTGTTCCCTCCACTAATTCTCCCTACATATGAATGACTTGCAAATTTGTGTCTCCAGCCCAGACTTCTCTGACTTCCTTACCGTGCATCTTCTGGGTATCTGAAAGTTTTCTCAGTCCTAGCGTGTTCAAACGGAACCCCTGCTCTTCCTGCACAAACCTGATCTGCCTCCAGAGTCGCTTAACTAGCTAGTTGTGCAACACACAAACATAGGAGTCATCCTTCTTTCTTACCACCCCCAGTCAAGTCCTGCAATCCTCTTGCTTAAGGATTTCTGGAGTCTACCCACTCATCTTCACCTCTAGTATTATTCTACCATCCCCCTCCAGTGCCTCCACATCTCACTGGACCTCTGCAGCAGCCATCTCATCAGCCTGTCCCTGTTCTTGCCACTATCCCAACTATCGCCATCCACGCTGCTACCACTGGGATCGTTCTGAAGCATACATCGAATTCCCTTCTCATCTAAAATACTTCGAGGTCTTCCCATTGTTTGTTAGCTACAAACATTATCCTTAACGTGGTGTGGTTTAGAAGGTTTGGTCCCTGCATTCCTTTCCAGACTCATCTTGACCCATGTCCTCTCTTGCTGTCTACATGTACCCACATCAACCGTTTCATGCTCCCTTCTACCACAGGGCCTTTGCACACCCTGCTTCTGCTGCAAAGGACACATCTCTTTCCCTTCTTTGTCCATCATATCAAATTTCCCTAGTACACTCATTGCACACTCGCTTAGCCATGTACTTCTCATAAGAAGCAGTGACAACAGTAGTAGTTTTTATATTTATGTGATCGATTTTATCATTTCCGCTACTGGATTATAAACTTTATGAGAGCCCTGAATGATGCCTTATTATTATTATTATTATTTTTGAGCAGAGTCTCGCTCTGTCGCCAGGCACCAGGCTGGAGTGCCATGGCACAATCTTGGCTCACTGCAACCTCCACCTCCCAGGTTCAGGTAATTCTCCTGCCTCAGCCTCCCGGATAGCTGGGACTACAAGCACATGCCACCATGCCCAGCTAATTTTTTTTTTTTTTTGTATTTTTAGTAGAGACGGGGTTTCATCATGTTGGCCAGGATGATCTCCACCTCTTGACCTCTTGATCTGCCCGCCTCGGCCTCTTACAGGCTAGAGCCACCGCGCCCGGCCAATGCCTATTTTTATTCACTATTAAGCCACCCAGTACCAGCAGAGGCTAGCCCATGAGAGATAGTCAGTAAACATTTATTGAATAAGTGAATTAATGAATTATCCATTCACGTTATGGTTTACATATTGAGTGTTTTTATACAGTCTATTTTTAGAGCAGTTGTACGTTCATAGCAACTATTAAGATTATATTATTTTGAATAAATGATTTAGAGATAATTTCATGCTAGTGAAGATAACCTAGATATCAGAAAAAAAATTTAACTTTTCTTATTAATTAAGATATCTCCCTGAGCAAATTGAGGCTGTTAAGCTCATTATAAGCCAGCCAATGGACTTTGAGTGGGTTTCAGGAATAAATAAGCCAATGAAAGATAAGCTTTGGATTCACGTGAAACAGTCTTGGGCAGAGCCTTTCTGGGGAGAAGGTGGGGGCCTCGTAAGACAGTGTCAGACCTAAGGTGAGGCAGGTGAGCACCACGACTTTCTAACCCTGTGTTGCAATCCAACCTCTTCCACTTTTCCCAAAACGAAGATTTGGCAAGGATCCAGCACATGCAAGTCATCGTCTGGGATGGTGTCTAACACTATGTTTGTCACCAGCCACATTCATTTTCAGGGTGGGAACGCCTAAAAGGGAGATAATTCTGCCTGCGGACTAAGGATAGAAGACCAGAGGAAAAGGCAGTTAGCACTGTGTCTGTTTATCTTACTCCAGAAATAGTCCCCTTAAAAAACATGCCCATCCTTGAGAACGCACAATAGTGTTATTCCATGCCGGTGGTCAGGGAGGACTGAAACAAAATCCTTAAGTTGTCTTAAAATCCACTAGGTGACTTAGGAGCCATCAGAATAGAAGCCAGCCCGTGCGGGGTGTATAGATTTGCAAGCAGCCATGGGCTGGAAGACGCGTGGAGGCCCCATTCAATCCTGCCTGAAATATTCATGTCACTGAATGTATTTCTATCCATCTTAATTGAGAGGGAATGAGGTCGATTGTTAAGAATATGAGGTTTTAGGCTGGGCGCGGTGGCTCAAGCCTGTAATCCCAGCACTTTGGGAGGCTGAGGCAGATGGATCACGAGGTCGAGAGATCGAGACCATCCTGGTCAACATGGTGAAACCCCTTCTCTACTAAAAATACAAAAAATTAGCTGGGCATGGTGGCGCGTGCCTGTAATCCCAGCTACTCAGGAGGCTGAGGCAGGAGAATTGCCTGAACCAGGAGGTGGAGGTTGCGGTGAGCCGAGATCGCGCCATTGCACTCCAGCCTGGGTAACAAGAGCGAAACTCGATCTCAAAAAAAAAAAAAAAGAATATGAGGTTTTGACATGACATAGACTTGAGTTTGCGTCTCAGCTCTGCCTCTTCCTAGTGTGGCCTGTATAAAGGAAAGCAAGAGAAGCTAAATCCACAGAACGAATCAACGTATCTTCTGCAAGCACACGCCCTCCATCCAGGAGAACAGCCTGAGTGTTTTTAGGGGAGTGTGCTTGAGGACGTGTTGAGAATGTTGGAACACCCGCGAAAAGCTCCAGGGCGTGTGAATGAGATGTTAACAGATTCTTCCAACGTCAAAAAGGATAGGTTATCAGGAAAGACAAGAATGAGAAGCCAAGACTTCACCTTTTTGCACACAAAAAAGCTGAGTAAGATGTGAAGCCACTCATTCATCTGCTCAAGAAATATTTACTGAGCTAATAGCTACAAAGCACTGGGGAGTTACTAGGGGTGTCGTTCATCCGTCTCTCAATGAACAAGACCATCAGGTAAGGTCAGCATGCTAGCTGGACAAGACCAATGTGGTATCTGTCCTTCAATAAGTTGCCTGACAGCAGATACAGTAACGTGAGGCTGGAAGACCGTTTTGTCCATCGAACGAGAGCAGGAACAGGCAAGCGTCTGTGAGGAAGGCACCAGGGACTACCTGAGTAGAAGGGCAGTCCATCCTTTCTGGGGCCAGGGAGGAGGGCTGAGGCTCCTGGACCCACACTAGCTAGGCTGGGCTGGGATGTCCTGCAAGAGTCTCCTACCTCCCCACCCCAGCAGGCTGCACGCAGCTGCTACCTAAGAGTCCACTTGACTCTGTGTGGTACACAATTTGAGAAAGAGGGAGTCGGAAGAATGGTCAAAGCCCACCTCTCCAGGGACTGCCCAGGCCAGGTCAGGCTCCGCTGCTCTGAGTCTTCACAGAGCCATGCTCCCCGCTTTCCTGAGCTTCCTCACTGTGTGATTCTACACACACCACGGCTTGCCTCACACAGGTCTATCTCCCACGCTAGATCAGAAGTGCCACGAGTGAGGAACCACATCTGTGTCTGTTCACCTTTGTGCCTGCAGGGATTGAGCCCACAGCAGGTAATGGGGCAGGCCTCTGGCCCAGAATAACCTCAATAAAAGCTTGCTGAATGAATGGGTGAAGGCATGAATGAATGTGTACTCTTGGCTTTAGGGGAGGGGGAGGCAGGTGCTGGCAGAGCAAGGGAACATCCTTGCCTGGTGAGTTAGATCCTGGAAACAGGTGTGTGGCACTACCTGTGTGGTAACTGCTGTGTTGCGTTTCCTGGCTCCCCTCCGTGTTGTGGGTCTGTGTGCGTGAAGAGCTGTGCTTGGGCTGGAGCTGGTTCTAAGACCGGAGCAAACACGAAGCCATCAAAGTGTGAGGCACGAACCACATTTGGAAATTCATTTCGGAACCTCAGTAGGCTTTCTGGCACCTAGTGGGCACTCAGGTTGGTTTGGTGGGTAAAATAAAAGGGAGAGGAGAGGAAAAGTGGGAGAGAAGAGAACTGGGAAAGGGAAGGGAAGGAGGAAATTTTACCCCGGGAAGGAGTGTTGGGACTTTGACGTAGTTCCATAATAGGTAATCATTTGTTGGATGGCAGATGTAGATACTAGAGCCTTATCCTGAATTTTTCACACATGCCACCCCTTCTGAGTGGCTCTGGCCAGGCTCTACAGAGGCCACAGGGAGAATGACCTATCCTGTCATTCTCCAAAGCTGCCCCTGAGCCTTCTCCCCCACCCCGGCCCCACACTCACCTGCAGATGGTGAGATGTGATGACCGGCCTGTTCCCCGGGCACCAGACTTCCTCCTTCAGTTGCCTCATGACTTGAAAACACTTCCTTCGGCAGCCCCCATCGTCATCCAGCTGTCCGAGCAACACCTGCTCAGCACGGAAGAAGCTCAGCTGCCAGTGATAACTTGAACAGGCCAACAGGTTAAACCCAAACGACTGGAATAAAGAGGAAAACATTGGGAAATGAGAAGAACAACGCTCCCCGGTATAGAAAGCCATCTCTGAAGCAGTCCACTGATCTGGGGAACCCGTCACCAGGCAGACAGCACATCGCACGTGGGGATGAGAAGGGGGAGTCAGGGAGACCACACGCCACCTTGGATGCGGACAGCTAGAAGGTGGTACCCACTTCCTCTCCTGAAGCAGTTCTCCAACTTGGGCATGCCTCAGAATCACATCACTCAGAGGGCTTCTTAAAACACAGATCGGCCGGGCGCGGTGGCTCAAGCCTGTAATCCCAGCACTTTGGGAGGCTGAGGCGGGTGGATCACGAGGTCAGGAGATCGAGACCATCCTGGTCAACACGGTGAAACCCCGTCTCTACTAAAAATACAAAAAATTAGCTGGGCGTGGTGGCGCGTGCCTGTAATCCCAGCTACTCAGGAGGCTGAGGCAGGAGAATTGCCTGAACCCAGGAGGCGGAGGTTGCGGTGAGCCGAGATCGCGCCATTGCACTCCAGCCTGGGTAACAAGAGCGAAACTCCGTCTCAAAAAAAAAAAAAAAAAAAAACACACACAGATTGCTGGGCCCTGTTCACAGGGTCTCATTCAGCGGGTCTGGAGCCAGGCCCAGGAAGCTGCATTTCTAACAGGGTCCTAGGTGACGCTGGTGCAGGGCCCAACACTTTGAGAACTGCTGATCTAGTGACACCTTAACTTCCCTTCGGAAACTTGTTGGCAGTCAGTAATGCTGTGACTGGTTAAGCTGCTGGAATCACGGCTCCGGCCAGCGGGGGTCCCGCCCACTGGTACCTTGATACACTCCACTCTCTCTTGGGAAGGCCAGCGCTGCAGACATCGAGGCCACCGGGCTTTCTCGGACCAGGTAGTGGGGATCTCCACGGTGGGGACCAGCTCCAGTTCCACCGGATATGCGGATGTTTCCACGGCAACCCACACTGCAGAACGGTTTCCTAGCATGCTGACCTTACCTGATGGGAAATGACCAACCGGGTAAGGAGAAGAGAAAGGCTTGCACAGTACAGGCGTTTAAACAAGGCATGTGTGAGCGGCTGCTCTGACCAGCTCCTTGCAACTGATGTGGCAACTTTCACAGTGTCTGTAGCATGTCAAAGATCAAGCCTTGACATCAAAACCAGATGGTTGGTCAGCTAGCCAGCATTGGAGCTAAGAAGTCTCATTGCTGGTGGGTTGCTCTTTCTCCCCCAATCCCAAGGCTTTGATGGCACCTTTCCTTTTAAATGAATAGATTCTTTTCAGAAGGCTCAACTGAAAGTAAAAGCCATAGAATAGAAAGAAAAAGTGTAGTACAGATGCTCCTTGACTTACGATGGGGTCACGTCCTGATGAAGCTGAAAATATTGCAAGCTGAAAATGCATCATCAGAGCTTAGCCTAGCCTACCTTAAATGTGCTCAGAAAACTTACATTAACTTACAGTTGGGTAAAATTATCTAACAAAAGGCCTATTTTATAATGAAGTGTTGAATATCTCAAGGAATTCATTGAATGGTTGTATGGGTACTTGAAGTACAGTTTCTACTAAATATGTATCATTTTCACACCCTTGTAAAGTAAAAAAATTATACATTGAGCCATGGCAAGTTGGGGACCGTCTGTATTTGCTACTGTAACATGAAACCTAACTATTTTCTATATCCTTCCCCATTCCACCCAAACATCTAAATGTTGGTTTTCAGAGTAACGCGAACATAGAGAAGGTCAATGCCATTCTTTCCCTCTTCACTTCGATGTTCTGACACTGGTTAGGGACAGCGTCAGCCTCCTTACATATTCATATGCTTTTGGTGAAGTCTGGCTTAGCATGTCTTTTATCTGAGCCTCAGTCTCTTAGATGGTATTTGTTTTTACCATCCACTCAGCTAGCCGAGTCTCAGAGGTACCTATCATCAGAAACCCCTGTAACCACAAAATATGTCAAAGCACGTCACAGCCACCGTTTCAAGGATCAGGTGACTGGAAAGAAGTGTCCATTGCCTCGTTTTCTAACCAGGCAAAGAGAAGAAGAGTAAACTAATGCATCTGGGAGTTTTCCAGCTCACATATTAGAATTTCCTCATTTCTAATTTGCTCCCCCTTCTTTCAAAAGATATAATTTTTGTTTGTTTGTTTGCAGTCTTGAATAGAGCAGGATCTATTCATCTTTCTCTGCTCATCCCAATTCTTGAAATAGATAGGAATCTATTGTTTTGCATTTCCTTGCACAGATAAGAAAATGGAAGCACATTAATTGTGTTACTGTTCAAAAGGGAAACGTTCCTCTCCTTGGCCAGGGTGGGATAAAGGGCTTGTTTTCTGCATCTCATCAGAGCTGCCCAGACAGGAACATGACGAGCACTTTAGCGTTATTTACTGAAAGCACCTCGTCAGCCTGGCCCAGTCTGAGTTCTGCTTTGCACTTTCACTGTGAATAATGTCGCACAGCGTAAGAGGCGAGCGGGTGCTGCAGCCAGCCCATTGGCCCACACCCTGCTCTGTAGCTGGCTCTGCTTACGAGGTGTGTGACCTTCAGAAGTGACTTAATCTTGCTAAGTCTCAATGTTCTCATCTCTAAAACAGGCAGGGAAAGAATTCTTATTCTATTGTGTGGTTACGAGGATTAAACTAAATAATCCATGAAATTTACTCTACTTAGTAAAAAATCTATTAAACATGAACTATTGCCACTACGGAAATTTTCATAACTGTTCATCTAGACAAGCAAATGTACGTACAAATACATCCTTTTATTTTCACACAGATGGAATTTCATGTTGTTTAGCAGTTTGGTTTTTCACTTAATTATCTAGCACATGCATTTTTCATAGCTCTGTATATATGCGTGGGCATGTGCCTGTTCTTCTTAAAGGCTGCATAGCAGTCCAGGAGGCAGAGATAGCACAATTCAATTTAGCCAATTTTCCTTTGTTAGCCATTTATATTACTTCTAGCTATTTACTATTATAAAACTTACGGCAGAGAATATCCTGGTGCATATTTCTTTGTGTATTTGTAGAAATACATTTCTAAAACTAGAATTGTTGAGTTGTCAAGTAAGCATGTTATAAAAATAAAAAATAGACAAATTGCCCTTTAAAAAGGAGACACCAGTTTACACTTCTAATAACAACATGAAAATACCCATTTCACCATGCCCACTCGACACTAAGCAAGATCACACTTTTCATTTCTTTTAACTGGTTAGGTGTTTTAATGCACCCAACATTAGTATATTCTAATATATGTTGAAATATACATTAGATGGAATGCCTTTTCTTATTTTTTTCAAGCCATTTTTATTATTTTCCTGTGATTCCTTTTTTATTTTTTTTAGTAATTATTTCTGTTGGTCAGCTTATCTTTCTTCTTATTGGTTTATAAATTAAGAAAATATAAATTTTGTTAAAATTTATATTTTATAAATTTTTATATTTTCTTTAAATATAAATAATAGAAAATTATATTTTATAAATAAATTTATAAAATATAAACTTCTATTTATATTTAAAGAAAATATAAAAAGTTAAGAAAATTAGCCATTTCCGGTTTGAAATTCACTTTTTCACTTTGTGTGAACAAAAAGGGTGTGTGTGTGTGTGTGTGTGTGTGTACATATGCTGCATTGTACAGTAGCTTAAGACTTTGGAGTTGTCAAACTTAATCAGTTCGTTATGGCTCCTGGATTTTGTGTTTTGGTACAAGTTGGTGGTTTCCAAATGTAGAATCTCAGCACACTGGTACTGAAGACAGATGGAGGTGCTGCAGTAGAAATGTGCTAATCACGAAGACCTGGGGTTTGTGAATAATTTGCTTTTTTTAAAAAAAAGTATGCTTCAGTTTTTAGGCCTGGTTAAGGCTTAATAATCCACAGCATTTTGTAACTATGCCAGCATGGTAACTTTCTTAAAGTCACAAGACTGTTTTGTTAGTATGAATTCCAATCGTCTGTGCATTAACAGCAGAAAAAAAAAAAAAAACGCTGATTCATATTTTGAGGACTAAATAAATGTGAAGAGCACATGATTACTTTCTCAAATTTAGGGTGTGAGCTGCAGACAACACCCAAGCAGAGGTTTTATAGAGTGAAAGGGGAATACCAGCTATTTTCCCTTGTCCTCGTTACTGATCAGCTCACCTGAGAGGTGACAGGTTCTGATTGCGTTTTCCACCAGCTTCCGGAACACCAGGAGGACCTTGGCTGGTACAATGTCTCCGTCGATGTTCACATCTGTCTCGTGCCACTGCCACAGGCTCTTCATAAATTGTTCCACCTCCAGCCACTGCTGCAGACCCTCCGGGTCTCGCAAGGGGCAGGGCAGCCTGGTGCCCTGCAGGGTATAGTACCTCCAGCGTTGCTCCCTGGCTTCCCTGTACCCTGCCAGGCCTTTTACTGGGACTGTGACGAGGAACTGACTGGGGGCCAAAACCTGGGGTCAGGAAAGGATTGAAAACAAGCATGAGTTAATAGATTCAGAAAGTAACAGACGTCCTGGGAGCCAACCTGTCTCTCCAGGCAGCTCTGTTAACCACTCCACCCTCAGCAGTGTGACCAGATACACAGAGACCTAGACCTGGGTGTTACAAGTGGATTACATCTTTGTTCTGCCACTGAACCACTGTAAATACTTCGAGTAGGTAAATTAACTCGCTGAGTTTATGATTTCATGAATCTGCAAGTAAAGACAACGAACTAGACCAGGAACTTCACAGGAGATCTGAAGTTTGAGAAACAAGAATGAATATGCATTGACTTCCATGAAGACGCTGCACTGTATTTCTAATGCATTTGACCATTTCAGCTTCATAGTTACACAGTAAGGTAAGTTTGTTGCCATTTTCTTTTCTTTTTCTTTCTTTCTTTTTTTTTTAAGATGTGGTTTCACCATGATGGCCAGGCTGGTCTTGAACTCCTGACCTCAGGTCATCCACCCACCTCGGCCTCCCAAAAGTGCCATTTTCCAGATGAGGAATCCAAGGTGCAGAGGAGCTTGGAGATCTTTCCAGGGACACACAGCCAGGAAATAGAAGAGTCAGAATTCGAGTTTAGGTCATTTGACAGCTTGTTCAATTATTATTTCTCTGCCCTAAGCTGGCGCTCACTAGAGAATGAATGACATGGAATGGTGAACGTTTTGACACAAATAAAAGGTAAGAAGTAACAGGAGGGGAGGTAAAAAGATTTTGTAAAATGGCTCCCTATTTTTTTTTTTTTTTTTTTTTTTGCCTGTACTGATAACCCATGGTCAGTGTTCGTGACTAACCCTTCCAAAATCTAAGGCAAAATAAAAGCTTGTTTGTTTAGACAATATGAGCTGTTGAGATGATTCTAAGTTCTAAGAAAAAAAGCAAACTATCAGAATCCACTTAATCCCCTTCTCCAGGAACCAGTGAAGCAATGACTGGGGGAAAGCAGTCAGACCAGCAGCCGAGGGGTGGAGCGAGTGGGTAAACAGAGCCGTCAAAGGAGCCTGAACTCTGACCATGTCCCACTTCATGTACACCTTCGGCTGGGAGTCAGCTGCCTCCTCTTCATGGAAAGCTCTGACCGTGGAATCTGGTTAACCCTTGCCCAGGACCAGTCACTGGCTCACTGAGCGGTGAACACCCTAATCAGCTCCAGCTGTTTCCGCCTAACTCTGAGAAAACAATAGTTTGATGTTTTAGAAGACGTATCCACATGACTTCTGGTACCCATAAAAAGGTGGCTGGATTTAAAAAGAGGAAAAAATGTCTAAAGTATAGAATTTAAGATCTGAATATTATTTCAGTCCACTTTTATGTGAATTCAAAAGCACAATGATCATGTTGTTAGTCATATAAGTGGTGCTTAGTAAATATTTGTTGAGCAGCCTGGGCAATATGACGAAACCCACCTCTACAAAAAAAAGACAAAAATTAACCAGGCATGATGGCATTTGCACCTATAGTCTCAGCTGCTCAGGTAAGCCTGGGAGGTTGAGGTTGCAGCAAGCCATGATTGCACCATTGCACTCCAGCTTGGGTGACAGAATAAAAGCCTATCTTTATTTAAAAAAAAAAAAAAAAGCCCAACCCAAAGCAAACTAAACCAAAAAAAAAAAAAAAAAAAAAAAACCATGTTGAATCTGATGTAAGATAAAAACAATTTTATATCCTATGCTGTAACTATTCTCAAAGCTTAATATGTAAGACATGACATATGTAAACACAAGATATATTTTAAGCTATGAATTCTAAGTGAGACCACTGAAAGAAATTTCCTAGGGTATAGTTCTAAGAAAAGTAATGTAATATGTCTATTTCTAGTCACTGGTTTACATGTGTTCAAGTTAGATTGGCCTGGGTGGTAGAGTTGGGCAAATGATTCCAGGATTCAATCTAGTTTTACAATTTTCACCCTGGAATTAATTTCCAACAATCTGACTCTGTTTCAAAATCCACAAATCCCCAAATCTCTCTAGTGGTTCTTGTGTCCACCAACTTTGAGACATAATGGGCCAGCAATGGTCTTTTGCTCAGGTACTAATTCTTTTGCTCATTTATTTATTCATTCATTCCATATAAGTTAAGTGTTTACCATGGGCCACACACCTTGCTGGGTGCTAGGAACAAAACAATGAGTAAACATGGTCTTTACAATTAAGAGATTTGCAGTCTGTAGTGAGAAACAGGCCATGAATACATACAAATTTAATACAAAGTGAAAGAGGTATGTGGCATCAGAAAAATCGAGATAAAGAATGAGGGGGATTCAGAGCCTGACTTCTCTCACCTCTAAAATGGAGATAACCAGACTGTCTTTTCCACCAGGTGGTTTACAAGTTTGAGTGAGGTCGCTTCTGTGCGCACAGCTCTGCCCTCACGAATGCGTTGTCTGAATGCTGGTGTTACCCACTGGCTTACACTGGGTGGGACTCCTCAGCATGGAGAGGGGTCGCAAGCCTGCTCCTGCAGCTTCCTCATGCCACCTCTTCTGCTTTCTTCCATCCCCATCTGCAACCCTTAGCCAATTACTTTCAACTGTCTTTTTGTGGATACCCTTGGTTCCCTCCACCCTACCCCCAATCTATTGAGTAGATGGTTAGTAAATGAATGTGTGTTTACCTGAGCTTTGATTGTGACTGCAGAACCTGCTTTGGAATCAAAAGCCTCTATTGTGAGTTTTGGCGTTAGTGCCTGACATGACTTGATCAAGTCATTTGACTTCTCTAAGCCTCGTTTTTCTCATCTAGGAATGTGGACGCTCAAAGGAAATAACATCTATCTTTTTCTCATTTTCTGTAGAGACGCTGTCTCATTACGTTGCCCAGACTGATCTCAAACTCCTGGCCTCAAGCAGTCCTCCCACCTCAGCCTCCCAAAGTGCTGGGATTACAGGTATAAACTACATCTCTGGCTGAAATGGCAGGTATGAAATGAGATTGTAAATAGTAAAAACTAAGAGTACCTGTGAAAAAAAGAATTGTTATGAGTATTCTTAATGAGGCAAGCCTCTGTCACATACTGACATCCCCCTGCCCGAGTGTCCTGGCTCTGCTGGTGGCATTTAGAGACATCGAGACTTACTTACCTTAATATTTTCATTGTATGTGTCAGAGTAAGGCACGGCTTGAAATCTAATGTCTTGGGAGCTGATATTTGTGGTCAAATGATGAACGACTTTCTGCACCTCCTCCACAGCCTGGGAAATCTTCTGGCGCCTCAAGTCCACCTGGTGTAGGAGGGATCAGCAGACGTGGTTATTTCCTATGTGGGTCCCCAGGCACTGGCATAAGAAACTGAGGAGACAAGGGAACAGCTAGGGGTGACCGGGGAAATTTAGGTCAAAAATCCTGCCTTCCCAAGATGCAGGGGAGGTGGACTTCGGTCTGACTCTACTGAGAAGACACTTGTTGGGGCCTCAATGTTCTTTTCTGTAACAGATACATTCATTTGATATTTATCTAGGACCTACTATGTAGAGGTGCCAGGCCAGGTGCTGGAGACACAACAGTGACTAAGACAACAGTGAACAGTGTAGATGCTCGCCCTCTAGTTGAACATACAGGAATATGGCCGGGCGCGGTGGCTCAAGCCTGTAATCCCAGCACTTTGGGAGGCTGAGGCAGGTGGATCACGAGGTCAAGAGATCGAGACCATCCTGGCCAACGTGGTGAAACCCCGTCTCTACTAAAAATACAAAAATTAGCTGGCCGTGGTGGTGCGTGCCTGGAATCCCAGCACTCCGGAGGCTGAGGCAGGAGAATTGCTTGAACCTGGGAGGCAGAGGTTGCAGTGAGCCAAGATCATGCCACTGTACTCCAGCCTGGTGACAGAGCAAGACTCTATCTCCAAAAAAAAAAAGAGAAAATACAGGAATAAGAATACAGGAATAAGGCCAGATGCGGTGGCTCACACCTATAATCCCAGCACTCTGGGAGGCTAAGGTGTGTGGATCACCTGAGGTCGGGAGTTCAAGACCAGCCTGACCAACATGGTGAAACTCGGTCTTTATATTAAAAAAAAGAAAGAAAAAAAAAGAAAATACAGGAATATATGTAAATATATCATAATATATATAATTATAATATATAATATCAATATCATAATATACAGTATTATACCTGATATTACATTATAAATACACAGACACACATATGTATGTATGTATATATGTGTATTTCTGTATATATATACATTTTCATAGATATGTGTGTGTAGGTGTGTATGTGTGTGTATGCATAATATAATATTAGGTATGGAAGTCCCATGAAGAAAAATAAAATACGATAAGGGACTAGAGAATAAAGTGGCAGCTATTTTAGTTAGGGTGGACAACGGACAAAGAAGACTTCTCTAACGAGGTGACATTTGAGCGAGGATGAGGACAGCTTAGGAGAGCAGATTCCATGCTCCTCCTCTGAAGTAGACAATTCTCTAAGGCTAGCAGCGAGGCCACTGTGGATAGACCGGCAAACAGAAGGTGATAGGAGGTGAGTATGGAGAGAAAGGCAGGGGCCAGGTCATCACGCAGGGCTTTGTAAGCCATGGTGAGACTCGACCATGGTGCCGTCGTGCCTGCTGCCCTGGGTGTGAATATTAAACTTCTTAACATGCGTCAGCACTCAGCAGCTTGCTTCCTACTGATGTCATCAGTAAATGATGGTTCTCTGTCTCTGTACTCACCCCTGCGTTTTGCTTCTAGACCTTTAAGAAAAGGCATGCATTTATGTTTCTGCTGACAGAGAGTTATCACAGGGAGTTACCGAGAACTGGGAAATTCTCAGAGAAAATTGAACACTAATCAGATACTTAAGGTTTAGGGAAATAGATGTTTGTGGGAAACACAAAGGAACGTTTAGTAAACTCCAGGAGAGACAAAGAAAAATCCAAGAGACAGAAGGGTCTGCAAGTTTTTTCTGAAATGGAGGGGCCTCTTTGTCATTTGCTCAGGAGGCTCCTACAAGCCGCTGTCATGACAAGACTCCTGCAGAGGCTCCTTCAGCCAGTAACCAATTTTAAGCAATATCTGACACATCGCAATCTAACGCCCATCCATGAATCTCTGAATTATGGTATAATGGCTGTTTCTACATATTCTAGAGTCATTTTGAGACATCCATAAACTGATCACGACAGCCAGGAAAAAAAAAAAAAAGCCCAAGTCAAAGAGATTCCTGTTTTCCTAAATTAAGTCATCAACTAGGCCAGTGACCTGAGATCTCACTCATACTTCCCATCAACCCGGAAGCCAACCTTACATGTACATAGAATAAGAATGTGACGTGCACCTGTTTGCACCCATGTTGTGTAGCACATGTAGAGTCAGTTCATCAATAAGTATCTGTTTAACACGTGCTCTGTGGTGGGCACCGCTTAATGCTGGAACACAGCAATGCATAAAATAGACGTGGCCAATGCATTGACAATAGTGAGGGAGACAAATACAGGTACAGAATACAAGTGTGGGGATGCTGTTATGGAAAAAATAACAAATGACAAATAAAGCTTTTAGAAGCCCCAAATTAAGTTTCCTCTCCAGCGCAGGACTTCCCCTCTGTGTCGTGATTCAATCTTATTCGAGTAATTTTAGCAGAACATCTATTTTATGCTGGGCTCTGTGCACACATGTTGCCACAAGGTTTCTAGATAGCTTGACAAAGCAAGACAAATAAACTGGAAATTAACATCACTGCACGCCAGTGCAAAGTAGAGGTTTGTGCAAATGCTATGGATACAGAGAAAAAGGACGCTTCACCCAGTTTGGAGGTTGGGAGGCCTTCCTGGAGACACAGTGTGTTGGAGTTTTATCTTGAAAGCTTTGTAGGAGTCCGCTAGGAAGAAAGGAGCATGAAGGTTGCTCCAGAAAGAGAAAAGAATTGCAGAGGCATGAGCAGCACAAAGAGAGAATCTGTGTTCCTCCCGCCTGTGCAATTGTTCCTGTGATATTTTTAGAATATGATCACCTTAAGAGGAGGTGGTGAAGTGGGAGAATAAACAGTGAGAGGTCTCAAAAGTAGAGGAAGAATTTCAAGAACAAAGTCAACAGTAAGTGGCTGAGTGAGTCAGGGCCCCCAAATGTCCATGGAGTCTGACAGCTAGAATACGGCTGCTGTGTTGGGGGAATGCTGGGCACTAGCATTAATGGTGGGGGAGAAGTGGGCATTAAGTGGTGGATTAAGACAGCCAAGTGAAGGCACAGGTAAGCAACTCCTCCAAGAACTTTTATTTGGGGTGGGGGAAAACCAAAACAACAGGGATGTGAACAGGTTTTCCTTGTTTGTTTCGGTTTGCAAAATGACACACAGGCTTAAACATTTTTAAATGCTGAGAGAAAGGAGTCAGTGGTGAGAGAAGAGAGAGCAAAACCATTTTGTAAGGATTTCCCACCCGAAAGGAGTCACGCACATCCAGAAACCTGAGTGAGGAATTCATCTTGGTGTGGCAGAAGGGAAGAAGGGGGAAAGGGCGCAGATACTGATAAAAGGGTAGGGAAGAGATTTCAGGCGATAGACTGGTGAAATAGCTGCTGTAAGGAATGAGAGACTGTTGAGGTACATATGTGTAAAGACAGCCAGACGGTATCAAGACTCGGCTGAGGCTGGGTCCATGAGGCTGTGGGATACCAGTAAGCTCAGTTGTGAGATCTTCACCACCTCTTAGCCCTCCAAAGGTAAGAGCTGAGGTGCTAAGATTGGAGTTTGCTGGGCAAAAGCCGGAGAAAGATAAAAAGCAAGGGAGGGTTTTAGTAGTGGGCTACATTTTCCAGCCTGAATAAAGAACAGATAAAGCGAGTGGTAGAAGAGGGAGCATGAGGCAAGTTCAGGGACCTGAAGTCTGATCAGGTACAGTGGGGAAAAGGAATACAAGAGTTAACTAGATAGAACATTGCAGGCAGAGTTGTTGAGAAATAGTATTATCTACGTTAAGTTCTCAGAATATGCTGAAGACCAAGACAAGCCTCCTGAATCTGCCAGCCCCACTGATGTAATTCCATAGAACCTGAGTGTTAGGAACATAGCAGTGAATATATATGTGTGTGTATACATATATATATATATATACATATACATGTAAATACAGTTTTTCCTGAGTTAATAAACTAATGAAAGGTTCATTACCATCAAATCATCTTTAACTGATAGAAGTATAAGAGTGTGTATGCATGTGTGTATGCATGTACATGTGTGTGCATGTATGTACATAACACATGTGAAGAATAGCCGATTAGAAAAAGTACTTCTTTGTAAATCTCTTCAACAAATGAATTGTGTCCTCATTTTTTTTTTTGAGATGGAATTTCACTCTTGTTGCCCAAACTGGAGTACAGTGACACAATCTCAGCTCACTGCAACCTCCGCCTCCCAAGATCAAGTGATTCTCCTGCCTCCGCCTCCCAAGTAACTGGGATTACAGGTGCCCTCTATCATGCCTGGCTAATTTTTTGTATTTTTAGTAGAGACAGGATTTTATTATGTCAGCCAGGCTGATCTCGAACTCCTGACCTCAAGTGATCTGCCTGCCTCGACCTCCCAAAGTGCTGGGATTACAGGCATGAGCCACCACACCCAGCCAAATTGTGCCCTCATTCGATGGTGAAATTCTTACCAGGCAGGACGGGATCACGCACTCCTGGAAAACAACCACAATCTCTCACTTGCTACACAGGTTATTAACTCACCCTTACGACCTATTTTGATTGCCAGAGGTGAAAGTCAGAATAAGAGAATGCTTTCTGAGACCTAGAATCACAAATTCCAGTTTTAATTTTCTTCCTCCATCACTTCGGTTGCAATTTAGACTCAGGATCTTAGAAATGGACAAGACCTCAGAATTGCGTTGTCTGGTGTGACTTTACGGAGGATCAGCGTGACAGGAGGCTTTCCTAACATCACGCCAGCAGTTAGATGCAGGACTAGACAGGCCCTTCGACTCTTCTTTCCATCACACTTTGCCACACCCTCGAGTACTGATGTACCAGAGGTGCCGCCTGCGCTTTATCCTCTTCCTGAACCTAAAAATGCCTTCAATTTAAAGTCAAGACTCATGAAATAAGGAGTCCCAAGTCTCTGTGTATTTGGGTATCGGCAACTGTTCTGGCTTCTCACAAGCACACAGGGTCATGCCTCAGGGGCCGGACAGTGAAGCCCCTGCTGTGGGACCTGAGTGGAAGCCTCTTTCTCACTAGGTGATGGGCAGCCCCATCCCTCGCCACGTCTCTGGCTACACTTCCTGCAATAAGGTCTTACCCACACAGCATCTCTGCACTATTTGGTAGGCCCAGAAGTGACTTGTGCTGGGGGTTTCCAGGCTTAGTCCCAGAGGCCTCTTGTCACTCTCATGGTGTGACAACACAGAATCCCCAGACTGTTTCTCTCCACTTATCCTGGCCACACCCTAGGCAGATACAGCAAGAAGTTCATTTCAGGGCGTGGAAAAGCAGGCAGTGGGGCTTGGCAGCCTTGAGACAGCCTTGTCGCCAAACCTAGTTCATGGCAAAACACGGAAACAAATTTTGTTTGGGCCTCGCTCTTTCCAGGCATGTCCCCACGCTGCAGGTCCGTGTCCCGTCCTGGGCCCCTTTCCCCTCCTCCTCCTTACCACAGCATCAGGCCCATTGTTGCCCCATAAGCCACTTGCTGCTATTATTAGCTCAAGTTCGTGAATATTGCTGCTATTAATAGCTCAAGTTTGTGAATAATTTACTGTTTCAAATATAAATTATGGGAATTCAAGGTTATTCCTTATAATAATATCACTCTGACTCACTCGCATTCCGATACACTTCCTTGAGAGAGAGACAGCGTGTCGGTACTAGGTAGCATGCCAGGAATGGCACCCAGGTCATACCCATGAGCAGGCCGCCTATGTGTATGTCATTTCCGATGAGTGTTACTGGGAAGAAAAGACTGAGAACTTCCTTCCGGAAGACAAGAAGTCAGACCTTTAATTCTGGAATTGCATGGAATCCAATCATCAGTGAAAAGAATTTCAACCAAACAAAAACAGGTATCATCTCCGTCTTTCAGGGGCCAATAATTCAGAGAAAGGGAAAGTTAAATCCAGTGATAGATACACACTAGAAAATAGGCTTTCCACCATCATATCCCTTCCTTTTTAGACTAATTCTTCCATGAATCCAATGCTTGGGCACAGAATATTTGCAGCCCCTAAACGTAGCAGAAGCTACAAGAGCCGCGGCACTGTAAAACTGAGATTATTGAGTCTTTCCTGTGTGCAGGGCCTTTTGTAAGGGTAGGCTCATTCATGCCTACCCATAATTCTTTAAGGTGAATGCTATGATTATCCCCATAGATGAGGAAACCAAAGTTCAGAACGTTTAAGTAATTTTTCCAGGTTCCCAGAGTTAGTAAGTTACAGAACACAGGTAGCATCCTTCCAAAACCCGTATTTGTAACCACTGCACTGTTCTGCCTCTCCAAAAGAAAAAGGTGACCGGGAATGAAACACATCTTGACTGTTTGCATGGGGTTCCCTTAGTCCTGAAGACCTTTCCTATACTTCTCCACTTATTAAAACCCTACACTTCTTCCAAGGCTTTGTCTCCACTCTTCTTTCCGTAAGATACCTTTCCCATCAGACCTAATGCGTCTCTGTTCTCCTCCAGCAATCTGTTGAAATCTCTACTGCATCCCTTATGGTTCGCCATGCATTATATCAAGCATTTGCCTGACTGCACGTGAAATTCCCTCCTTCTTCCTTTGGAGTTATGTGCAAAATCTGCAGGTGGGACAGGGCTAAAACCAAAACCAAAATTTCTCTCTCATTCAGCAAGGCCACATCTCAGGCCTTGGTCTCCCTCAAACACAGTATTTTGCACAAAGTATTAGCACAGTATTTTGCACAAAGCAGGTCCTTAGTATGTGTTTGCAGAGACATACCGGAGTTTAGCAGAGGACATACGGCCTTTGGACTAAAAAAGATGAGGCTAAAACATCAGCACCTTCATAATTTAGCCATGTAACTTTGGATGGACAAGTTATTTAATCTCCACAAGTCTATTTCCTCCTCTGTAAAAACAGAGACAATTTGTATATCACATGGCTGTTGATTAGATTAGGTGAGATCCTGTAAGCACCTTGATCTGTCGGCCTCCACACCACTGTTGACTTACCTTTAATGAACTCTGAAGAGATTTCTGATCATATATATGCAAGATACTCTGTGACTGTCAAAGAGAAGAAGGACATGCAAGACACTGTTCTTCCCTCCAGAAACTTATAAAGAATGAAATGATTTGACATGTAAGTTGCCAAGCAAGATGAAAATAGGACAGTGTGAGGTGTTGATACACAACTCATGGCCAAGTAAATGGTGCCAGTAATACTAATTATAATGGGAGTGAATCTGTGGATCTGTGGGCAGAAACATTTCGTGCTGGGTGTCAAGGCAGGTGAACTCTGAGTTTGAAGGATGAATATGAGCCGGAAAGGTGGCAAGGAGGAGCTGGGGTCCTTGACCTGCTCAGGGCCCAGTTCTTGTTGGGCAGAAGTGGGAGACTCAATCACCTACAGGAGTGGAGTAGGAGACACATGTGAGAGAGGCTGCGGGGACCAGGAGCAAGTGTCAGATACCGGAGTGTTCAGCCTCCTGAGAGGTGGCCGGCACATGCTCTGGCTAGCAAACACTCAGCCCCGCCACACGCTTTCCAGGCAAGAAATTGGGACCTGTGGTTGCCAAATATTCTGATTTTTTTCCCCTCGATAGACAGCAATCTGCATTTCTCTGCAAAACCTCGCTGTTTTGAAATGCTTGTGAAAAACATGAGAAATCATCTACAGGCCAAACAACACATGGGCACGAGCTGGATTCAACATGTTGAGCACTGTTTAGGATGTCTGCTACTGGAAATGCAGGGTGAGCAGAGGGTAGAAAGAGCAGCCGAAGTTACTTGAATGCTATGCTAAAGATTCTGGAGTTTTTTCTTACAAAAAAATACAGGATCCGTGGAAAAAAAATACCAGCCAGTATCTCCAGCATTTAGAATTCTCAAAGGGTGGAATAATTGGGAAATCACTTTGTTTACTCTAGTTTGATCATCCCGGGTTTTCCTTATTTATTTCTCTTAATGATTCTGCCTAAGAAACACACTTTACTTATCACTATGATAATGATCTTTGCTTGGTGTACTTGTAAAAGCATGAAAACCGCACACTAGTTCCTGCTTCTTAGTCAATTTAACTATTTTGGTTTCAACATTAACATCCTGCCTTAGTAGCTTCATCCGTCGATGAAAAGGCTTAAACTGGATAATATTCAAGACACCTTCAAGTTCTAACAGTTTTCGACAGCCTATGACCATCGAGAAGAAATTAAATTCTTAACTGATGTGTACCAAAAATAGGCTAATATTTAAAAACCTAGTAGTTTCACAGTTTTTAAGAAGCTTGGTTTTCATTTCATTTGCTCTTTTTCCAAGACCCCGTGAAGCTCCTATTATTATTCCCATTTTACAAAGAAGAAGGTCAAGGCTCAGTCAGATGAAGTGACTCGTGACCACACGAGTGGCAGAGCTGGAGTTCCCCCCGTCCCCCAGATTCCAACTCTCTGTTCTATATTCTATACCGAGCATGTCTCTGGGAACTGAACCCTCAAAGAGAAGACTGAAATATGTGAAGTCCCCAAACATTGTTATGGGTGACAGTCTGTTTTCTGAGGAGCATTTTATGTATATTTAGAAATATACAGCTTGAGATCCTTTCTGGATCAAGGTTTGGTTGGGAGCAGTGTGAATGGGGAAGGGGTACATGGGAGAGACCGGGTCTGTCCTTACCTTATTTAGCAGGCAATCTTCTAAGTCTCCCACAGTAAGGGATTTCATGGCTTCTTGGTCAATCCTGAGTAGAACAGCAACTTCCTGGGTTTTTTTCTCAATGGAGTACAACACTCATGAGTAGATAGCACTCCCAGTAATGTGAGTCTCTGGGTACTGAATTTTTCCGGAAATGTGTAATGGACCGGAGATTTTCCTTCCAAACCTTTCATTCAAGTTTTATTTCCAAATTGTGAAAATCCAGCTGTCATCTTCTGGGAAATTAAAAAAAAAAAAAAGAATTTAAAAAGAAGAGTTGATAAAATTGAATTTGAGTCCAACCTAATTATACCTTATTTAGCTATATTAATTGGTTCTTTGACCAGAGCGCAATTTCCCAAATTGTATTTTCCACCCAAGTACTTAAAAGTTCCATCCAAGTTAGAAATACCCTGCAGTTGGCTTCTCTCACCTTTTATGCTTCTGTCCCGTCACTAGATGCACCGTGGAACTCAGTATCTTATATCTCCTCGTCCTTATCTTGTTGACAGTAAATACCCCTTGCTCTCCAATCCAGAAAATCCCACAGATTGATTTACTTTCTTTACAATAAACAAATAAAAAACTGCCGAACAACCAGCCTGGGACCCATCATTATGCCCACAAACAAGTGATCAGATCTTGTCAACCACAGCAGAGCGCAACGGTTGGCATTTGGAAAAGCATGCACACACGTACACACAGGCGCACACGTACACAGAGGGCACACAGGCGCACACACAAACACAGGAATGGCCGGTCAGGAATCCTTCTGCTCACCTGCTGACCTTTAAACGTAATTTCCCTCTTCCAACTTGAAAGCTGGCAGTAAAAATAAAGTCAGTGTAAACAGGTCCCTTGAGAGTCCAGGGAACACTCAACGTCTGGTTTTGCCAGCAAAACTTACGTTGGAAAACAGCTCAGGCAGTAAATTCCCAGTTGGGCTGGCTGGGGCTAGTTTTACTACAGAAGAAAAAAAAATTTCACAATGGTCTGATCTCCTTGAAGCTGGTAAACATCACGGGAGTCTGCTATCAGATAATCTAAAGAAATGACAGCCCTCCTGGGAGCAATGCTTACTTTTGAGCAATGTTGCAAAGGCAGGTGCTTCCAAGCCCACCTGGAAGTGCTGCCTGCAAGGTCACTCCATTGTCTGGGGCCCCAACATTTGCATATCTTCCCATACTCTGCCTCAAGCAAAAGCCAAATCGCAGTGCCCTAGCTGCTCTGTGCCCCACCCACGTTATGAATCCCAGCTCTCAGTCCAGCTTCTGCAGAAACTCCTGTCAGCGCAGAGCCTGATACAAATACTGTAAACTACATCCTCTCCAATGACACTCTGATGGCACCCCTGAAAACAGCCTTGATTTTCCATTTGCTTCTCTATGGAATTCTAAATCTCCTTCTTTTGATATCAAGTACTCCCAAGTTTTTCAAAATCTGATTCCCTGGGCTTCTCTTACCATAGTAGTCCCAAACTATTTGTTTTTTACAGACTGAACAAGAGCCTCTTTCTCTGAACTTACAATTTAGTATTCTCTCTCTGCCTCATTTTTAACATCACCAAAGTCCCACTGTTTCTCCCTTGTGCTCATTTTTGTCGTGACTTCTGTTTTCACTGCAATCATTAACTTGTGAGTCACTTTCCTATGGTGGGGTATTTCCTAATGTTCAAGGGTTACCCCAGACACCTGTCCTCATTTTTGCACCTGTGGCTGCCCTATCTTGATTGCTGTAGTACTTCAGCCGATCAAAATGTTATAACTGGAGTCTTCTCTTGCCCGCGACAATTGCCAGATGTGAGCAACCGACAGGACAACTGAGCGGCTGGGAAATGAAGAAATAACCATGTGCTCAGGGAAGCTACCGCAGTCTGATTTTGCCAGGATGCCGTGTCCAGGGCACAGCCTAGTTCCCTACTCCGTGATGCCGTTCCTTACGGGCAAATGCTCTGAAATACGGGGCAGTTCCACCAATACAGACTCTCTGACAGCTCCTGTCTGACAGATTGATGAAGACAAGCTTTCTTTTTAGATGCAGGTACCTGGGTAATTGAGTATAGGATCCGCAAAAAGGGATTGAATTACAGTAAGCCTAGGGCACCTGTAGGCCACGCCCCTGGGGAAATTCAGTTAGCTCAGGTTTTCTTCCTTCCTTGGAAAATAAATATCCTCATTTCTCCTGACTCACACCAAATCCAAGTATGGAAATGTAAGTTGGCTTTGGCTCAGTTTCTGTTGCGAAGAGTAAGAACTAATGTTTAAAAGTCGGGTTAACAAGGAATTCAAAACCCTATGCTGTCAGTGTGAGAAGTCTCAGGGAGATAAGGCTAGCCCTGCTTTACCAGCGGAAGTGTTCGTTACTGATTTACTTAGTGTCTGAGATTTTAATTTCAAGAAGGAGGAAGCTTAGCTTGATCCAAATCAACCTGAAATATGCAAATTTGTTAAAGCTTGCCAGGGTTACAAACTCTGACTTTTTAAAAGATTTCCGGTAATCCCAGATGACTCACATTAAATCTGACAGTGCAGAAGACCAGGCAGAGACAATCACCTGTGATGTGATGAAGTCCACAGTAGTGAACAACTCGAGGCAGGGGCCTTGGCTATTCCATATCTCCAGAGAAGCTTCAGTACCTGACACAACTGGCCCTCATTAAGTGTTACTGAATGCTTATTTGATCGTGTTAAACATTATGCAAAATAACATTATTTATTAGAATGTCACTAATGTGACATTTATTAGAATGTCATTAATGTGACATTCTAATAAATAAAATATAATATTTTAAGATGTGTAAAATCACCTGACAAATTATAAATTTAATTGTATACACGCATCTGTGACTGCTATCTTCTTTTACAGAAAGGCCTGATACTAAAAAAAAACTTAGCATAGTACTTGGCACATGATAAGACCCCCAAAAACATTTGTCTTTATACTCCATTCCACTCCCTGAGGAAAAAGATCCTTTTTTGTACGGATGTTTAGATTTTGTTTTGTTTTGTTTTTTAATTTTTATTTCAATAGTTTTTGGCATACAAGTGGTTTCTGATTGCGTGGATTAATTGTATGGTGGTAAAGTCTGAGATTTCGGTGCACTCATCACATAAGTAGTGTACACTGCACCCAATATGTAGTTTTTTATTCCTTAGTTCCCTCCCGCCCTCCCCCTTCTGAGCATCCAAAATCCATTATACCACTTTGTATGTCTTGGGATACCCAAAGCTTAGCTCCTACTTATAAATAAGGAGATAAGGTCTTTGGTTTGTCCGTTCCCGAGTAACTTCACTTAACAGTGTCCTCCAGCTCCATCCAAATTGCTGTCAAAGACATAATTTGATTATTTTTGATGGCTGAGTAGTATTCCATGGTGTACATGTACTAGATTTTCTTTATACACTCATTGGTCCATGGGCACTTAGGCTGGTTCCATGTGAAAGATCCTTCTTTACTGTATGTCAGTAATTCTCCTGGTCTGACCTGGTGGGTAGGATTGTTCACTGGGTTGGTCTTCACAGTTCCACCAAAAAGTGGGTCTTCTTCCCTTTCACACTTGACATGGTAATTGAGATAGTTTGAACTTGATCTTTGGTCTGGGTTCAAAGGTTGGGAATCCCAAATGCAAATTATAGGTCAGGTGGGTAATAAAATAAATCAGAATAGAGTAGAACATGGAAAGGGGTGGGGGTCTCTGGTGGATGCAAGAGTATATATCCTACCTGAGATATTCTAACTTGTTGGGGTTATTTGTTTGTTTATCTTTTTTCTTTCTTTTTCTTTTGAGAGGGAGTCTCACTCTGTTGCCCAGGCTGGAGTGCAGTGGTACAATCTCAGCTCACTGCAACCTCCACCTCCTGAGTTCAAATGATTCTCCTGCCTCAGCCTCCTGAGTAGCTGGGATTACAGGCATGTGCCACCATGCCTGGCGCATTTTTATATTTTTAGTAGAGACGAGGTTTCACCATGCTGGTCAGGCTGGTCTTGAACTCCTGACCTTGTGATCTGCCTCCCAAAGTGCTGGGATTACAGATGTTAGCCATCATGTATGGCCTGTTTATCTTTTTTTAAGCAACACTGTACTATGCACAAGACTTCCCCCCTGTACTCTGCACTCCTGCAATACTGAACTAGTTACAGTTTCCTGAAAGACCCCTCCCTCACCATCTTCTCTGGACCTTGCACTGACAATGCTCACTGCTTGGATTCTCTCCTTACTTTCCACCCCTTCACTGGGCTTCTATTTGTTCCTCAAGATTTTTCTTAGCTGCTACCTGTTCCAGGGCCTTCTCTGATTCTCAAGGCTGAGTAGGGGACTCTATACAATGCTCTTAAGCCACCCAGTGCTAAACTCCTACTTTAGCTCTTAGCATACTGCATTTTGCTGCTTTGCTTATATCTAGCCTCTGTGGTACCAAAAGCTCCTTGAAAGAAAGGATTTACCTTGTTGGAAACAGCATCTGACATATAGCAGCTGCTTAATAAATGAATGAATGCATGCATGAATTAATGACAAAATGATGGCGGCCCCTTTTTTTATTCTACAATCTAATCCTATTCTATCTCCCATCTGCAGGCATATATAAAGTAAGAAAAGTAAAGTTAAATAATGAGTAAGCTCCCGTTCCTTCATTTGGGAACACAACAAAAGGAGAAAAGAAATAAGAACATTTTCTTTGGAAAGGCTGATTTCAATTCAGAAAGTACAAAACAACAGGGTAAGATGTTTTGTACCTGAAGGAAGCCAAAAGGCGTCAGGAATGCTGAAAAACTGGCCAATAATTAGAACATGCCATATAGATCTTAGAAGCCAAAACTTCGTATCTTTGTAAAAGTCATGGCTCCCTCTGGCCATTTCAATTAAAACTACGTTATTTCTTCACTGCAATTATTATCACAATACATACAGAAAAAACGAGTTCCCCAACGTTAGACTGAAGAAAGAAAGTAAAAATGTATTTAACACCAGCAGTTCTACCACTATAGAGCCTGTGGTCAACAGGAAAGAATGAGAAATAACCAGCAATGCCAACTCCAGCCCTCTATGCAGCAAAGATGACCTGTTCTAGTCACAGAATCATCCATCATAAAAGATCCTGGTTTGGGCTGGGGGAAGGGAGACTATCTATCTGTTTTCATCTCGCCTCGTGTCCACCCACCTATACTTTTATGCACTAGAATGTCATTCTGGATCTTCTTCATTCAAATGGTACCAGCTGGAGGGCAACCCAGA